ACCATAATGATTCTATGATTCTATGAGCTATTGTTTGTAACAGTAATGATATCTCATCTTCCTGTGTTGGTAGTCTTCTTAATCTTGAACAAAGAATGGAAATACATTTATTTAAGTCTAGTTATTACAGTAAATTCTTTTTATATGCAGTTCCATTTATTTTAAGAAGTCATAACATCTGCCTCAATTCTGACCACGTATGCATGACAATAAAATGTATTTGACGACATTTGTGATCATATAACAATAAGATTTTATCCAGCATTTCCATACATGTAGAGTTCTGCAGCAATGCTTATGACTTTAAAGCAATGTACTAGGACACTGTACTGTGTAAATAGCTATATCGTTTGCTATATAAAGCAGGAGAAATGTAATGTTATTTGGAAGTTATGATGGAAGAAATGATTCTGTTACACTTGAGAGACATAGAGAGTTTTTTCCACTGAACTTGCTCCTCTTGTGCGGTATACAAAATACAATAAACCATATGCACTTGGACAGCAGACCTCTGTCAGATGCATAGTTGCTTCTCATTGCATAAGTTTTGACAAACAAGCTGTTTCCCAGTAGCTAAGCACACTTCTTACGTTTTTCTCTCCATGCTGCAGCATGAAAAATCACCTTTGGAGAGGGACTGGGAAACTTCAGTCTAGAGGGAAAGCTTTTATAGCTGTATACAGTATTGGAATGGAAATACTTCAGTAACCTTTCTGAAAGTCATTGCTTCTACTGGTCTATAATTAGACACCCAGGAAAAACAAAATCCACTTTCAAGTATAGTAGAAACCAAATAGATCAAATAACAAACACCTAAGTAATTTAGCAGTTTTTCCCCAAATACGCTGGTCACTGTAGTAGTTGGTTACGTAGCTCTGAGTGGATAAGTACATGTCAGCTTCAGTAATAAATGCTGAACTTTTGGATTAAAACTCCTGTTTCTTTGAGATGTCACTTATATAATTGGGCTTGTTTTCTATCCAGATAGTATCTGCAGTGCAGTATTGCCATCAAAAGCATATTGTTCATAGAGATCTCAAGGTGAGTAGGAAAAAGCACGAGGTGTGTGTGTACCTGTGGGTGTGATGTTTATTGTGCCGATAAAATGTAGTGTATATTAGGCTTTCTGATTTATTTATTTTTTTGCATGTGTTATACCAAGTTTTTAGGAATGTTTACAATATAGAACCATTACAAATAAAAAGGAAGAGGATTTGTAAGGCTTTTGAATACAGAAATTTAATGGATGTTGAAAGATAGCTTCTCACCCTGTGTTCAGATTCAAATCTGATGCAGGTCAGTGTTCACTGAGCACTCTTAAAGAAAGAAGGTAGTTTGATAGAGGTATGACAAGTTTTCATCTTGAACAGAATGAATTACCAGTTGAAACTGAAGTATGGCTTCTTTGTAGCTTGGTATGAAATAGTATATCCCCTCTTTAAACTATGCCTTTTGTATTAATAGTGTTGCCACATAACTTGTTCAACATATCACGGCTTTGTAATGTAAAAACTCAACCAACCAACTAAAACACTACCAAAAAAAAACAAACCCTCACACTTAAAAAAAGTTTAAAGGTTATGTATATTACCAAACTTTTGCAAGAATGCCTCATAAAGTATAGATAGTGAGACTATATCTTGTTTTCACCTTAATAGATCAAAATGAGAGTTACAACAGCTCAGGATGCATTTCTGTGTAGAAAACAGATAGATGGTAATAACAGAGTTTTCAGGTAGCGTAGCAGCTCATGTAGTCTGAAGCCATTGTACAGAGATTTTCAAAATAGGAGATATGTGAATGATAGACTAAAGCCTACCTAAAGACCTTGCAAAGAAGTGAATATTAACAGATATTTCAGCTTTTTACCTTTTAAGAATTAGTAAAATAGGACAATAGCATTCTAATCAAGTATTTTAAGGTCATCTTACAAACCTTTCTTTCTCTTCCAGGCTGAAAATCTATTGCTAGATGCAGATATGAACATTAAAATAGCTGACTTTGGGTTTAGCAATGAGTTTACAGTTGGAAATAAACTGGACACCTTTTGTGGCAGCCCACCATATGCTGCTCCAGAGCTCTTTCAAGGGAAGAAATATGATGGACCTGAAGTAGATGTTTGGAGTTTAGGTGTTATTCTTTATACTCTTGTGAGTGGATCTCTTCCTTTCGATGGACAGAACTTAAAGGTGTGTTTTTGTAGAACATGTTGGATATGTTTGTGTAATGTTTTAAGTGATTTGCTGCTTACAGCTTACTGTCTGTTCTTCTGTTACCAAGGAACTTAGAGAAAGAGTGCTAAGGGGAAAATACAGGATTCCTTTCTACATGTCCACAGACTGTGAAAACCTCCTCAAACGTTTCCTGGTGCTAAACCCAACAAAAAGAGGCACTCTAGAGGTAATGGCGTAAATAAGGTACATCTGAAAGCTAGACATTATATTTTGCAAACTGCATTTTTGATCTGTAACTTACTATTGTCATACCATTCCTGAATGGTTTATTTTGAGTGGTTTTGGGAGAGGGTGTTGAGTAAAGCATGTGACTTTTTTTTTTTTAAGATTTTGTTTACTGGAGCTACAAGACACAGTTACTTGCACTATGAATGTGAGACTACGCTGCATATGTCATATAACTTTTCCTGATGGTTACCTTGTGGATTCTTGCATTAATGGGTGATCCACCAAGATGTTTTCCACATTTTTCAAATGTGAACTGGAAGTAATGGCTGCTAGGTTATGATGTGGTTGTCTTTTGCCTGCATTTTGTACCGTCATGGAGGAGAACGGCCAAAACAATACTGGCCTCCATGGACTTCCGTAGTCGAGGCTGGACCTACTAGACTTTGCAGAGTTGTCACACTGCTCCTGGTCTGTGTTACAGGCTTTTAGCTTTCAGCTATGTGCTAGAATACAGCTGATTGGGAAACAGCTTGGCTTGATGTGCATAGTTGATTTTCCTCACTGAAGCAAAACAAAACTGAGTAGGTTCTGGGGCCTCTTCTGGAACAGAAAAATTAGAAAAGGCCTTAGTGTTTGGTAGATAGGGGAGTTGTTCTTTCAAAAGCTCGTTTTCTTTGCTGGTAAGTTTATTGTACTAACAAAACCGTTTCTTTTATAGCAAATTATGAAGGACAGGTGGATCAATGCAGGGCATGAGGAGGATGAACTTAAACCTTTTGTTGAACCGGAACTAGATATCTCGGACCAGAAAAGAATAGGTAATTGAGTATTTTTCAGAATGTGATACTGTTTTCATGAGGTGAGTGTTGGGGTTTTTTTGTTCCACCACTCTGTATTTGTTTGCCATTTGGAAAAAGTAACTGATCTTTTAATACTGATATTTCATCAGCCTTATGTTCTCACACTTAATCATTTTGTTTAATTCTTCAAATGTTCCATTCTTTCCCTTGAACTTAAACACTCAGCCAGCCTAAACATCAGAGTGTTTGTTACTTACAGAATGTGTGTTTGTTTCTAGATATTATGGTAGGAATGGGATATTCTCAAGAAGAAATTCAAGAATCCCTTAGTAAAATGAAGTATGATGAAATCACAGCTACATACTTACTGCTAGGAAGAAAATCATCGGAGGTAAGTACGATTCTTACAAATGCAAAGAAACAAAAGAATTGGAAAGTGTCCTTAGCAAAGTTAGAAGCAAAAATTAAGTTGGCAACTAGATTCCTGCAGAAAAGTCCATTACACTTAAAATCACATTATTCTAATCGTGAATGTCGATTGAAATGATGCTATGTTTGTTCTCACCCTGATCCGAGTCAGTAAACTCGTGCCTTTAGGCTCTCTAAAACTACCCTGCTTGCTCAGCAGTTACTCCTCTGAAGGACTTTATATGCCAGGTACTGTCCTGTCTAGTCTAGGACCTGAAGTGTGAATGTGCCGGCTGTAAATATTTTAAGAGAACCAAGGAGCAGAACCAATCAACCTAAAAAAGTTCTTGCATTTTAGCATCATGTGGAAAGGTAAGCTACGAGGGCTCTGCATCAGTAAGCTGCTCTTGGTTCTTCTGCTGGAGGAGCTGGTGTGGTGCCCTCTATGAAACGTATCCTCTCTTTCTGTTAAAACCTTAGAGAACTCTGAGGAGAGAGTACTGAAAGTAGAGATGGATTTTCTTTATCTGATTGTCCTTTGAGGAGCTGCAAATTCCACTGAGTTTTGCCTGAGACAGTTGCACAAGAATCTAAGAAGTTGGGGCCTCTAAGCAACTTCCTTGCTGTCACAAAATTTCCTGTGTACCAAAGCCATCTTCCTTCTGCCTCCCTCTTACTGCTCCCATAATGTAGTGGATGTTTAATTTATTTTGTCTGAATTCATCGTTTTAATATTCTCATTTGTATTGTAGTTGGATGCAAGTGATTCAAGCTCCAGCAGCAATCTTTCACTTGCCAAAGTTAGGCCAAGTAGTGATCTTAATAATAGCACTGGACAATCTCCTCATCACAAAGTTCAGAGAAGCATATCTTCTAGCCAGAAACAGCGGCGGTACAGTGATCACGGTGAGCAATTCTCATTTTCAGTGTTGCAGAATATAGTGACTTCCAGTTCTGTTTGGTTTCTGAATTTGTCCTCATCTCCCAAAGTTAAGGAGGATGACAACAGTGTAGCTCACAGGTGGTTAAATAATTTACTGTATAACTAATTTATTTTTTTTAAAAGTGATTTTGTTATAAAGCCTTCAAAATCAGCTCCTAGAGGAATGCTGAATACACCAACTTAATTCTCTTATTCTGCCTTGTGTTGTCCCTTCCATTCCTGACTGTGCTGGGAAAGTCTTGTTACACAAATTGAAGAGAATGTTGCAACCCTCCTTTTTCATGAAAAGCACAGCACTCCTCCCCCATGCTCTTGTATGTCTGTTCAGCTTTTGTTTTCTTTTGACACTAGTAGGTCAGCTTGTGTCTAAAACTTGAAGAAATGTCAGTTTGCCAATATTTCTTGTTTCCTGTTTCCTGAGGGTAGTGTCACTTGATTGTCCTGCAGGAATTAAATTTCTAAAGAACAGTGACTCAAACAAACTTAGTACCCTTCTGCTTAGTGGGTGTATAAGGTAGTAGCATAGGGTTTTCTAAATATCTTAAAACGTCTTCCTGCTGTAACTCATAAAAGGAGTCTCTGTTTAGGCCTACTTTTAAATATAAGTACTTCAAGTGCATTCAGAGGTTTGCTTTCTTGGGGAGTCTCCCTGGGATGATGGTTACTGCGTTTTGTGA